GGTGCTGGTGGTGGCGCCATTTTCCTAAAGCAATATGAGCAAAGGATTAACGATTCACTTCACAGGAAAGAAAAACAGTAGCATGCGATATTTTTGGTTCTTCCGCGAGAAACAATTTTATGGACAATTATAATCCTAATTTGGCCCCTATTGCCTAAGATAATTGTTTAAACAAACAAGTGGCAAATTTAACTAAATTGGCACCTACATTTTTCCAAAAAATAACTTATTACAAAAAAACTAAATCGAGCATACTAAATCAACTAAATCAACTAGCATACTAAATCAACTAGCATACTAAATCCACTAGCATACTAAATCAACTAAATCAAAATGTTCTAAATCAACTAGCCTACTAAATCAACTAAATCAACTAGCCTACTAAATAAACTAAATCAAAATGTTCTAAATCAACTAAATCAACTAGCCTACTAAATCAACTGAATCATATCAACTAAATCAAAATGTTACATATGAAATCCTACTAAATCAAAATGTATCAGGGAGGAGGGACAAGGAGGGGCGACTCGAGGAGGGAGAAGATAGTAGGACGGAGGAGGAAGGCGGAGCGAGGAGGGGCCGACCGGCGGCGAGTGGAGGGAGGACGGATCGAGGAGGAAGGCGGAGCGAGGAGGGGCCGGCCAGCGGCGAGTGGAGGGAGGACGGAGGAGGAGGCCGGTACCGAGTCCAGCGAGGAGGATGAGGCGACAGCGGCGCAAATCGGGGGAGGGGCGACGGGGGATGACCGGCGGCGCGGGGGGTGAGGAGGAGACCGAGTGAGTATGTGTGAGTGTGATCTGTGGATGAGGCTAGTGAGTGGGGGGAGATGGAATGGCATAGCAGTGGCGCACTATAGGGAAATGCGCTATTGCTAAACGACCTATCAGTAGCGCCTTTCGGCGTGGACGCGCTACTGCAATGTGTCAGTATGTAAAAATAGACATAGGCATAAAAATACATTGATCATCAATGGTCTTTTTGTGTACAATCTGATTTGTCAATAGGAATCCTCGCCGGTTGGTTTAAGAACTGGCAAGGATTCCTATTGCGGCCACAGATCCTACACATAGAGTTCAATGAAGACCAAGTGCTTGTGAAAGTTGTAGAAGAAACATATTTAAGGTGGGTAAAAGGCATAGTAAACACAATCAATTTCCAATGTTCAACAAGAGAAATGGTGAAAACCAACCTCACAGAGGTAAAACTTATTTTCTTCCTTCCTTCCTTCCTTGCTCCTGTAAGCGTGCTCTTCTATTATACTGCTAGTACTAATTCGAACAAACTTGAAGTGAACTATCTTGATATAAGTCTGCATCTCTTTATACTAGTTGTAATCTAGTTTACGGGAAGGCTGGGATAAACGTTGCACCAAAAAAAGGCTCACGTCCCACTTTATATATAAAGCAATGATGATGCAAATCAAGCCATACAACATGAACCGGCAATATACGCACACAAGGCTAGATACAAGGATGTTAAGGACAACTACACAACCCCGAAAACTCGAAGCACACTACACGAGGAAGCAACTTGGAGACGTCGGAGCTCTCAACCGTGAACGAGTCACCGCGAAGAGATGAAGTCGTGCACGACGAGCCGTGTACTTCAAGGGCGCGCCATCAAGAAGGGCAAGACATTGGAGCGCCGCCACCGCCTGATCCAAGGATTAAGGTTTCCCTCGAAGCAACATGAAGGACGAAGAGTAGCCACGACAACGCCTTCAACAAGGAAATGACGCCCATAGCCGTTGCCTCCGTCGTCCTGGCAGAGCCAGAGCAGGCTTCCACCCTGGCAAGCACTTCTCCTTCAAAACATAGTACAACAGGCTATGGCTCCTGCGCCAACGCCACCGACCACCGGACTCTGGCTACCACGCCGCCCACATGGCCAAGTCACCTAGTCAATACCCGAGCCGCGAGCTCTGCCCCTAAGCACCGCAGCTCCCACCACCAAGGCCGCCGCCCCGACATCCATAGCTCAAACTTCACCCTTGCCCCACGCTTGCAACCAAGATGACAAAAGAGACGGCCGGGAAGGCACCACCTTCCCAACCCCTGGACAACGCCCAAGACCACACTCACCCCCGTCTAGCCATCTCTAGCCTCCACCACCCCACCTTGCGCCTCCGGGCAAAGGAGAGCTCCCCAGTAGCGCACCACCACTAGACAGGAGGCAAGGATGATGTCAAGGCACCCCTGCCGATAGAACATCCCTCAACGATGGGCGAAATTGGAAAAGTCTAGCCCTTTGGGCACCCTGCACACGCCTATCTTGGGGATGGAGCGGACCCGCTCTCAGATCGACACCGCCACCGAAGACCGCGCCATCCACCACCGCTACATCTGTCGTGAGCAGCAGGTGTCGCAACTCCCTCGACGAGGGCGGCCACGAAGGCAGCAGCGGCCTTGCTGCACCCAGATATGTGTCGACAGCCTCGGCCGCCGCAGCCCCGCCCCCGCCACATACCTGGGCTCCTCGACGCCGCTGGCTCCTGCCCGACGCCCACTAAGATCCGACGCCTCATCACGGCGCCGACGCACGCAGATCGGGCGAGGTCCGCTGTGCTGCCGCCACCAGCCACGAGGTTGGGAGAGTTGGGCGGGGATTGCGCAGGGGTCCGCTCCGCAGCCACCTTCCTTGGAGGCTGTCCGGACTTTACAGGTGGCGCCTCCGGGGCTACACGACGAGAAGGGGGAAGAAGGGGAGTCGGTGGCACGCAAGGATCCCCCCCCCCCTGTCGCCAGACGCGGGAGAATTACTATTACAATCCCAGGATAAACGTCGCAGAGGCGTCCAGTAACTCAAAGGGAGAAGGAAGACGCCATGGAGAAGACGCGGAGGTTCAAATCCGAGAGGCCCTCCACCGTCAAGGAAATGAAGCTCACCGATGTCTAAGCCTCGTACTTCATGGTAACTACCGTCTTCCTCCTGAGTCACAATGCACATGTTCAAAGCCAAGCATTTAGTATCCCTTTCTTTTTACTCTCTGTATTACTTGTTGACAATACTCATATGTACAACTATTTGACTCCATTGCTCGCTTACTGATCGACTTGGGACACTTTAGATCATCCTAAACATGTTCATCGAAAATTTCCTCCCGAAGGACAGCAGGTAGATGATGCTGTGGGACCCGCAGGCGAAGCCATGGAAGGTGCGGGACGAGTACACCAGCGGCGTGTGCCCCCATGCGGCATTCAATACCGGGTGGGGCGTGCTCGTCATGGAGAACAACCTGGAGAGGTGGGACGTGTGCGTCTTCGAGCTCCTGGGCCATGACTACAACATCAAGCTGCACATCTACAGGGCCGTGCCGGAGATGACCCCTGCGTCATCGCCACAAACCCAGTCACAGACGAGTGATTGTGTGCCTGAAAGTGGCAGACATGTTATATTGTCGTTGTCAAAACATAACGTTTGGAATTATGTGTTTCCGTTTGTTCGCCGTGACCTAGGGTTTTTCCCTTGCCCCGAATTCCCTTTTATATGTATATATATGTAATCCCGAAATATTTGAAAGTTCCATCCAGCCGCCGGGCCGCCGCCCCAACCCATCTAAATCTCATCGAGATCTTCTCCCGTCCTCACAACCAACGAACCTCCATCTAAATCCACATCCAGATCTTCTCCCGTCCTCTCCTTCGAATTTGAATCGATCGAACACCCCTTGGAGAGGCCTGTATTCTGATCCATCGAGATCGCGATTGGTTCACTGCTACGCGCTTGGTAAGCCCTACTACGGTATATCTGATCTATGCTAGATCAACAAAATCTTTAGCTTTTCAATCACCTTGGCGTTCTACAAATCCATGGTGTGCATCGTGATTTTGTTCTTTCCACCCCAAGAAATGGTGTTCGTTGTTCCTACATGATTTAGTTCAGCGTAGATTCAACTTGTGGGATATAATTACAGGTTTTACCGGTTGACAAGATTGAATTCCTTCTTCTCTCGCCCTGGGCGTATGTTCCTAATGATGCATTCTGTTTTATGCTACCTCTTCTCCAGTGATAGTCGTTGTGTTGCTAGTTAGGCCATACTTTTCTTGTCTCAAGACAAGGATGGTGCAAATTTGAATCATCCATATATGCATGCTCTTGATTTCCTGAATTTGCACAAGAATGGTCGAATTTGTAAATCTCTTCAAGAAAAATAAATGTGTTAATTTGGCAAATACTCTAAAAGGATAAAAAAAAGGGGACCACTGTTAATGGATAGATCAGACAGGGTATCAAAACCGCATTACCTAGCGACATGGATATATACAGATATACAAGTATGCCGCGACACAAAATTATGTGTGCATGTAGCCACTATATATATATATATATATATATATATATATATATATATATATATATATATATGTTAATATGTATGTATGTATGTATACTTGTGTGCACTGGTGAAGCATCGTTAGGGCAAAAGTGTGTCGTTGCCCGCCTCAGCCTTTCTAGATACACCCAGCACAACCTCACCTCGCCCTGCTCAGCAAGAGGTGGGGCGGAGGTCTAGCCGAAAAGATTAGCTTAGTAGAAGCGTGAAGTAGTGCCAAGGGCGACCCATCTCTCGTGCCGTGGCGGCGTGGCCACAGCCATGCCCAGGCAGCGGCGAGCGACTTTTTTATTCTCCTGTGAGGTCAGCCACCATGTATTTCCTTTGTAGCTCCGCCACTGCTTGTGTGTCCAACATTCAAATATAAATATGGGATACATTTTGTTCTTTTTCCATCCCTCAAGAGCTTATATAGTAATTATATTTATGTTGATTGTTAGTTTTATAACAAAGGAGTCTGTAGGAGTGTTCTTGAAAATAAGTAATGCAGTTGGGAATATCCAATGCAAACAAACTTGTGTTTTATGTAGATTCAGCTCTCGAGTAAAACTTGAGTATATATATACATCATTGTTACCTTCGCCAAAAGTGTTATACTAATATATGCATATATTTCTCCTATTGTATTGCAGAGACAGAAGTGTGTGGCATATGTAAAGGTCCAATCATGGTACACCATCAAAAGCAATATAGCACTATGGGTATGATAGATGATAAGCAGAATGTGAAAGTGAAAGAAGAGGGTGGTGAAAATACGAATGCGAAAGAGAAAAAGAAACAAAGCAAAGAAGAAGGTGATAAGAAAAAGGAGGTGAAGAAGATGACTAAGTATAAGGAGAAGAAAGAGAGAACGAGGGGTAATGACAAGGATAATGAGAAGGAGAAGGAGGATCAGAGGAAAAGGAAGGAAAATGAGAAGAAGATGAGGGCACATAAGGAAAGAGAGAAGAAGGAGAATGATAAAGAGGAGGAGTTGAAGGAGCAGAATGACACAAAAAATTGCCCACAGTTCTTTAGGTTCCTAATGACCAGTTCATCTATGGAACAAGAGGTAAGTTTTCTTGATTCATAACAGAAATTAAGGAGACTAACCCATTTTTGGTCCTCCATTTTTATGTATCGTATTTTCATGATTGTTGTGAAGGTTCTCTTTCCGTTTGCTGTCCACTTTAGGAATGGTGCTTACTAATTTGACAAAGTTAAAATGGTACATATTTCATCAGAATTTTTGTTCGATTAGTCATTGATATTTTTCAAATATGGACTATACTATGTGGTCTGACTTTGAAAAGGAATAAAAGAGAGATAACATATCCGCAACATATATGAGTATGTCATCCAATATATAAACTAGTTCATCAAAGTTGATTTTATTCGTATTTATAGTTTTGTAGATTGTAAAGAAAAGAGACACATGTAAATTTTCCCCCAAAATATAATGCCAAGTGAGAGTGACCGAGACAATATATGCTTGTTTGGATAGGGGCTTGGACCCAAGCCTTGAATTCGTTTAGACTGATTATTTACACCATTAACTATTACCAAACTCTTGAAATCAATCTCCAACACTACTATCAAACATGTCACTACTAAAGGGGCAGAACTGATCGCTTTTGATGGGTGCCAGGATCAGCACTAATCTGTTGTCTGTGGAGACTCATCCATCACTCGTGGGATAGAGCCCATCAGTGGAGTGCCTATGTTTTAAATAGCGGGCTATGGCATTTAGCGGCGACCCTTAAAAACAGCTATAGCTGGCTATAGCGGGCTATAGCGGAGCTATAGCGGCAAATTCTACGTGAAATCATTTAGTGGCAACACCCTCAAACAGCTATAGCGGGGCTATAGCCGGCTATTTAAAACTATGTAAGACACGGACAGTCGCTCGTCACTGACCATGTCAGCACTCTCACGTATATATGACCGTCCTTATGTGGTGACAAGTTAAATGCTATGTATTCATAGCATGCAGCACATATCATTTTTCACTATAACAAACATTTCATATATTCAGAACATTTGCTTGAAAGATTCTGAAAAACTGCATCATCACATAGACAGAAACTCATTACACATTCATCTGAACATAAAATCCATCGGCCATTTGTAAGACATAGCACACAACCTTTTTATATTATTTTTTAGTTTTGGGTTGTGCTCGACATACTTAGTCATTGATTTATATGATAACATATGTTGCAGACAATTCCCGAAGACTGCCACAAATACTTGGAAGAGTGTACAGGAACAGTTTCACTGAGAGGTCCAAGCGGAAATTTATGGCCCGTAGAGCTGGCTAAAATCTCCGGGGAGCTATGCTTTGCATGTGGATGGAAGGAGTTCCTCTGCGACCATCGCATCGTGTATGGCTACCTGCTGGTTTTCCGTTATGATGGGAACTCACAGTTCTCAGTCACGGTATTCTTGCCATCATCCTGCGAGGCACCGTATGCGTTTCTAGCCCAGCCGCAGCGCATGGGCGCCACCGCTGTGGCAGCAAAGGATGAGAATGGGCACACGGGCACCAATGCAGATGGTACTGCCCCGCAAGAAGAAGACTCTCACATTGGCACAGGTGCAGATGGTACTCCACAAAATGAAGGAGAAGAAGAAGATGCTTCAGAAGAATATGAAGGGAGCGACAACATGAGTGTCGATGCTGACGGCGCTGGTCCACAAAAGGAAGAAGAAGATGCATTATCAGAGAATCCGGATAATGAGGAAGAAAGTGAATGGCGCAGCTCACCATCGCAGCAACAGAAGGAGGATCAAGACAAGATCGACAATGGTTTTGTGGTCGGGAAGAGGACTAGGTTCAGGAAGGTTGATGATATCATGACAGAAGTGGTCGGATCCAAGAAGTCCAAGGCTAAGGAAGGGAAAAGACATGAAGCTCAATCTAGTGATTCGAAGTCTGAAGGAGAAGCATTAGGTGACAGTTTAGAAAGTAATTAAGAAGAACCCTCCCACACTGATCGATTGATTTCAAAATTATTAGTACCACTTCTACTTTTTACATATATGTTGGTTTGAAATGGTTTAATGTTGTCAAATGATTCTTATGATGGTTTTATCGAGCTAATTGTGACTGTGTGCACATCAATTAAAAGCAGAATCGGGGCTTCGTCCACCCAGGAAGTCCAAGGCTACTCAGGAGAAAAGGCCTGAAGCTCCATCAGGTGATAGTTTGGCAGGTAACCAAGAATAACCCTCCGATGGATGATTGATTTCAAAATAATTGGTAGTACTACTTTTTACATACATATTGGTGTGAGATGGCTTGGTGTTGTAAAATGATTTATGTGCTCTTGTTATCGAGCTAACATGTACATGTGTGCACATCGATGTAAGCAGAATTGGTCCATTGTTCACCCAAGAAGTCCAAGGCTGAGGGGAAAAGGTCTACTGCTTTAGCTTCTAAAGGAGCAGCATCAAGTGACAGATTGAAAGGTAATTAAGAGGAAGCCTCTGATCGAGAATCGGTTTCAAAATAAGTAGAATTTTTCTTGCAGGTAAAAAAGTATTACTTGTTTCACACACATGTATTAGTTTGGGATGGCTTAAATGTGTGTCAGTTTTCATTCTGCTATCTAGATAGCAATGGTCTTGTACCGTAAAATGATTCCTATATAAGCATTAGGTGACAGTTTAGCAAGTATTAAGAAGAACCCTTCCACACTGATCGATTGATTTCAAAACTATTATTACCATTACTTTTTACACGTATATTGGTTTGAAACGATTTAATGTTGTAAAATGATTCTTATGCTCTTTTTATGGAGCTAACCTGTGTCTCTGTGCACATCAATCCAATTATAAGCAGAATCAAAGCGTTGTCCACCCAGGAAGCCCAAGGCTGCAAAGGGGAAAAGGCCTCAAGGTCCATGTGGCCATTCGGAGTCTGAGGGAGCAGAATCAGGTGACAGTTTGGCAGGTAACTAGAATAACCCAATCAATGATTGATTTCAAAATAACTGGTACTGCTTTTTACGTATATATTGCTATGAGATGGCTTGGTGTTGTAAAATGATTTCTGTGCTCTTATTGTCGTGCTAAAATGTACATGTGTGCATATTGATGTAAGCAGAATTGGTCCGTCGTCCACCCAAGAAGTCCAGGGCTGAGGGGAAAGGGTCTGCTGCTTCATCAGCTTCTAAAGGAATGACGTCAAGTCACAGTTTGGCAGGTAATTAACTTGAAGCCTCCGATCGAGTATTGGTTTGAGATGGCTTAAATGCTGTGTCAGTTTTGACTCTGCTATTTAGATAGCAATGGTCTTCTCCGCTGAAAAAAGATAGCAATGGTCAATTGGTCATGTCATCGAGCTAACTTGCGCGCATATAGTTCATACAGGTGTACTTGCGCCAGAATCCGTATGCAAGGACTTAACCAAATTACACAAATCTTTTGGTAAAAAATATAGTATGAAGGCTCAGTTCCCGATGTTCAATAACAGCAATAGTGAAAACCAACCTGGTAGAGGTAAATCTTCTTCCTTCCTACGCTGATTACAACAAAATTTGAACTGAACTATCTTAGTAATTTGCATCTTCTTTTATACTCCCTCTGTAAACTAATATAAGAACGTTTAGATCACTACTTTAGTATTCTAAACACTCTTATATTAGTTTACGGAGGGAGTACTTAGTTATCGTCAAGGTTCAGAGAAGGCCGGAATTAAAGTCGCAGAGACGTCAAGTAACCCAAAGGGACAAGGAATATGCTATGGACAGGGCACAGAGGTTCCAATCCAAGAGGCCCTTCGTGATCAAGGAAATAAAGCACACCGATGTCTATGTGTCGTACTTCATGGTAATTGATTGAATTCTTCTCTGGATGGATACACATATTCTAAAACTGCATTGCTCGCTTACTGATCGACCTGGGACACTGCAGATCATTCCAGAAATGTTCGTTGAAAATTTCCTCCCGAAGGAAAGCAGGAAGATGACGCTGTGGGACCCACAGGCGAAGCCGTGGAAGGTGTGGTACGAGTACACCGGCGGGGAGTGTCCCCGTGCGGCGTTCAGCGCCGGGTGGGGCGCGCTCGCCATGGAGAACTACCTGGAGAACAGGGACTTGTGTGTGTTCGAGCTCCTGGATGATGACTACAACATCAAGCTGCACGTCTATAGGGCCGTGCTGGATATCACCCCCTTCGCCCTGGCCCCAAAACATCATCAACAGGGTTGTGCATAGCCCTTTGTTTTTGTTCTAGTATATCGTTGATGATGGAGGTGTGTGTTGGTGACTATTTTGTTGAATTATTATCAGATCATATTACTTGGTGAATCGTGTTTTTGGCTGTTTTATTGAATATTGGCATTCATTGCTTTTCTTGTCGTAGCAAATATCAATATATATATGATTTCTTTACAGAGAAAGCCATTAGATAGCTCTTTTTTACTGCATTGTTGATCAAAAATGGTACAAGAAAGTTCGGCAGTTCGGTCCAATTAAGGCACATTTCTTCTTGCGTCACTCGCTTAAGTACGGGATGCCAGATCTCTTAAAACTTTTTTTGAGGAAAGCTGTCATGGGCTCATGGCCGATTTTATTGATCAGGATTCAAAGATATATCATTTTCTAAGGCAGCCAAAATCAGGAGGATCGTCAAGCCATTGATGGTTACCCTTGGTAAACTTTGCCAGATTATGAGTAGCCCTATTGGCCTCCCTAGGGGAATGTGAAAAAACTACCCGAGAGAAATTGTGACAAAGAAAAGTACGCTCTTCATATATAGCAGCCGCCACACCTAGAGAGTTTCCGCCATTGTGCATGAAACTTCCATGCAATCACTTTCAACTAATAGTCTATTGCACCCTACGTTCCCAGCAAGAATCAAACCGTCTCGAAGGGCGGTAGCTTCAACAGTAGGGGCATCCAGTGGCGGACCTCGAGTTTGACGACAGGGGGTGCTAACCTTATCACTTACAATAAAAGTACCATGTATAACCATAAAAAATTATCAGTTTAGCATTTTAACCCTATAATACACGTAGAATTAGACTAATTACTACTAGGTAAAAAAAGTTTAGCATTTTGGAGGGGATGCATGGCACCCCCACTAGATGAGCCACTGGGGCCATCATCAACAAATGGGAGGTTCCAGCTTCCTCCTATGACAGGAACAACATGATGATCCCGGACGAATGTGCATGTCCATCCCGAGCCAGTGTCCTCGTTGAAGGTAGCGTCAACATTCAGATTTACAAAATCTTCAGGTGGTTTAATCCATCCTTGTCTAACAATCTGAGCACTACTCAATTTGTTAACTCTTGCAAAAAAAATTGAGACCAACTCTTGCAAAATTTAATGCCAGCACAGAGATAGACTGGGCCGATCTAACCGGCGCTTGCAAGCTGTCACCATGAGTACATTTCCTTCGCTCCCACCAAGCATACCAGGCAACAACAACGACTAGATCACACCTTCAAACACCTACCAGATACGGTGCAGCATTCTCATCCATTAGCAGTCGCTCGAGAGGCCCAATTCCATCAGCCACTTCAAAGCAAGTGTCTTCAATAATTTGCATCATTCCAAGGCATGACCATATTTCCTTTACTCTACCACATTTGAAGAAGACATGATTCATACTTTCACAGTCCACTGAACATATAGGGCATTGGCTAAAATTCTGCATATGCCGATTTGCAAGGCCAACATAGGAAGGAATCGCCCCATATAAAGCACGCCAACAATGTATCTTCACCTTAACAGGTGTTTTCAAGGCCCACAAAGCTCTCCAGATAGGGTTGGTCGACGAAGAATTATTAGGCCTTGTCATCCGTAGTTTTCGACCATGCTAATTATTGCATTCAATATAATAAGCAGACTTGACCGTAAAAATTCGATTCTTATTATAGTGCCATGACACAAAATCCTCCATCATCACAATGGCCAGCGGGATTTCAGAATTCTTTCCACGTCAACGGCCCAAAATAGTTCTCTACCCAATGCTTCATCCTATACACGGTTTTCATCATCAATTAGTTCAGCAACCTTTGTAATTACTATATTTCCTCTCCTTGTCATTAATTACCTTCCTAGTTGGCCTGCTAGGAATCCAACAATCATTCCAAATATCAATTTTATTACCATCTCACACCCTCCAAATATGTCATCTTTTAAAAGTTCGAATTCCTGCCCAAATGCTTTGCCAAGTGTATAGGAGCTTCCCTTTTTCAGTTCACAATTTAATAGAACACCTGAGGGAAAATACTTAGCACGAAGAACTTGGGCGCATAAAGAATTTGGCGCACAAAGCAACCTCCAACATTGTTTTTACAAGATAGCAAGATTGAAACTCTCCAAATCCTTGAAACTCATACCTCCTTGTTTCTTTGGGATACACATTTTCCACCATGCAAACCAGTGCATATGCTTCTGTTGGTCAACATATCCCCACTAGAATTGGGACATTGCAGAGATTATCCCTTTACAAATCCGTTGGAAAACCTGCAAACTGACATGACATATGTTGGTATAGCTTGAATGATGGATTTCAATAATGTTTCCTTTTCGCCAAAAGATAGCATTTTTTCCTTCCAACTGTAGAGAAGTATGCAAACTCTATCAATAAGATACTGAAATTGTTTGAAAGGGGGTATTATTTTCTTAGTTCTCTATCAACTTGACAACTTGTAGGCTTTGATAAAACAGTCCACTTGTGAGCCGTCAGACCCCGTTTTGTCCCTTCTACTGAAAACAAGGGTTTGGCTGATTTTCTGAAACAAAATATACACTTATTTGTTACTATTAATTTGAACTGGATCACGCCAACAATTTTGAAACGGAGGAAGTACTATTTTATTCTAGCTGAGACATCAATAATAACAACGTTCCCGGTATGGGCCCCTCATAGAAGAGATTAAGGAGCTTCTTGACTCTCGGGATGAATTTCGTTTGTGTTGGGCTAGGCATTGCGCAAATCGCGCAACACATAATCTAGCTAGGGATGGTTGCCTTAATAAGTTGTGCAAGATCTGGTTTTCAATTCCCCCCTCTTGTATTCATGACATTGTTGTGGGTGAAGCCGCTTAGTTAATAAATTGGCAGCGATGTTCCCCTAAAAAAACGCCGGGTGACAAGAAACTCACTTTCCCTGGTCGTCCTAGATACCTTTTGTGTGCCACAAAATAATACTTGAATCTTTGCCAAGAAGTGAAGAAACCAGGCACATCAAAACTATAATTTCTTCAAATTACATTATCTGTGTTACTAGTGGAGAAAACTGTTGACAAATCTTCATATAGTGCCAACGCTGATTTTTTAATTACCTGAAAGATTCTTGAAATGTATTTCCTAGTCACTCTTGACTTCTCTTTCGAAGTGAATCACTCTTGATTTCTACTGCGGGACTATATATCATTATCTCTTTCCTTAGGTCCATGAATTACCCCACTAATATGTATAACAAATTTGCCTGCTTATTTTATCCCGGTTGTAGAACTTAGAATGACACAATCCCTTGTCAAAATGCATCCTTCTAGACACCTCTAATTTGAACATACCAAAGATCGAAAATGGTGTCCTGGACAAAAATTGTAGGATGCTCCAAATTCATCTTTCAGTATGAACTATGACTAAGGAGAAGCATTAACATTGACACCCACAAACTCTGTGAGGTATGCACATCAATCCTTTAGACACAGTTCATCAATCTGTCATTACACATCCCGTGTTTGATTCATGCTGCACGAGACGAGGTCATGGTACCTGTTTGATACATCTTTGTCATTTCTAGTTCTCATATTTGAATATCGTAATCTACTGCTATAGAGACACAGCCTGTGAGTTTCTCGTTTATGAGAAGTAAGTGACAACTTACCCCCTGATGTACCTTTCCGTCTAGCTAGGCCTTGCAAACTAACCTAAATAATTTCATCTGCCAAGTACAGCCTCATTTCTTGCACGTAGATAGACTCCGGACTAAATAAATTTCCACAGGAGGAGCCCCCACCAGGAAAATCAAGATCGTCTACAACACATCCTTCCCCCACTCAACGCCACCACAGCGAGCCGACGGGCAAAGTCCACACGATGTCAACGACAGGCAGGGAGTTCCTACTTGTGGATGGTGTCCTGATGCATTCATGTATGTAGTCCATATGAAAATATGTTGGAAAATTAGGCAAATTCATGGTTAGTTCTATTAAATAATTTATGACTAGAATGGTAATTAGCATGCGAAGCTCTAGCATACTGGATTGTCGAAACAACAACATCGCTCATGCAACAACTATCATAATTAGAGACAAGATCAGATCACGGTACACGTACTAATTGTCCGTAGATGAAGTTGCCATGACTGTTGCAGGAGCGACGATGTTGTTGACGTCGATGTTGGTGGTGACAACTTGTCCCGTGTTCACGAACTTCCGCAATCGCGTGGAGCGCTTCCCGAAAACCTTATTCACCATCTCCCGGTGTAGGATCAAAAGGGTGAGAGATTTCGAAGACCTGCTCTCCCGTTGCCGGCGATCGGGGTGGAGTAGACTACGGTGATGGCGCAAGTAGAGAGAGGAGGCAAAACCCTAACTCGATTTCTGTGTGTCTTTGGGCATGGCCGGTAGCAGTATATATAATATATAGGACCAGAGGCAGTATCGTGCGGTGATCACGATCACAAACCTACTTTGGATTCTATGTTGTATACTTACCAAACAAGAAATAATTAACTTGTCACCAATACATCAAAAAATAAAACTGTAAAAGAAAGTTGCACCTATGCAAGGCAATGGACCGGTTTTCGGCAGACCATTCACGCATAGGTCGCATGTGTGCCCCGCCCCTGTCCGGCTAGGCAAGTGAGGGCGCTTGTGGTCTTCTATTTCTCTCCTCAACACGCCACATAAAGTGGCGAAGAGAACCCACTATATAGAGAGGTCTCACACCTCCTCAACTTTCGGGACGAGATTAAACATTAGAGTCACCACTTGTTATTTTACACATGGACCACTTTGAGATTTTAAAAATTGTTAATGGGCCATGCCCATTCAATTCCAATATATTACTAGCATTGACTTGTAAAATAATGACCCGAAAGATTATCCCACAAGTACATGCTTCCTATGCACTTTTAACTGCGGGACTAAAACTATTAGATCATGATAAGTGACATACGTGTGGCACGGACACATGATAATTTCGAACGTTTTTTATGCTAAGTTTAGTAATGCGAGGATGGCAACTTTAGTTGTGAAGCATGCCAATTTCCTTTTCGGATTCAGTCTTTTTTTGTTGTTTTTCTTTTCAAATTGCAACTTTAACTGTAAAAATGTTAGGTCCAGATTATTTCATACCATACGTGTGGAACTTATCATTTGGGAAACTATTTTCACGCTTTCCGAGATTCAAGTTTGACCGTAAATTTAACCAACGAGACGGACTGCGGCGGGAACAAGAATTATACCACGGAATTATAGTATATTTTTTGTTCCCGACGCAGTCGGTCTCGTTGGTTAAATTTACGGTCAAACTTGGATCTCGAAAAATACGGGCGCACTACATTGTGAAATGGAGGGAGTAGCATCATGACAAATCCTTTCAGTCCATCTCATCCCTGTCGCAACACTCACAAACCCTGACTAAATACGTCCTAGTAGCTTCTTAATGACAAAATGCAAACACTACCAAAGCTCGAAAAGGACGGGCGGTGACGGGTCAGGAATCGCCGGTACACTCCAGACCATCCTTCAGTAGGAGCTACGGCTAAGGAGGAGCATCAACATCGGCGACCAACCACCCAATCTCCTCTCTGAGGTGGTACGCACATCAGCCTTTCAGACACATTTCACCAATCGGTCATTATTTACACGCCCGACGTCTCATTCCGCACGAGACCATCACGGCATCCGGTTGATAGTACATCTCTGTCACCCATTTCTCGTCCCGATGTTTGCTTCTAAGCTCATCCTTGACGTACTGTGTGTGTTCTCGTCCTAGGAAGGGCGTCCGTGGGCGGCAGCAAGCAGCCAGCAGGGTGCGATCGATATGGCGTCCAACTACAAGATGAAAGGGTTCTTCAAGGGCTTCAAGATCATCTCCCAGATCTTCGGTGAGCGCGTGTAACTAACTAGGACTAGCTAGTGTGGGGGTTTCTGAATTTGATCGTGCAGAACAGGGACAGACAGGCGTGATCTGAATTTGTTCTTGCAGCGGCCAAGGAGCAGGAGATGGTGATCGGCCGGCCGACGGACGTGAAGCACGTCGCGCACATCGGCTGGAGCAGCTCCACGCCGGGGATGCTCACGGGGAATGCTTCTCCAAGCTGGGTAACCATTTCAGTGCGACCGTACACGCAAATTCTGGTTCCATCTGCCTGCCTGATCACCTTTACTTCCCAGATGAATGTCATCGAGGGGTCGTCTGACTTCTCGTCCTTGGGCTACTTCGCGCCGTCCGCAGGGACGTCCTGGACTTCTCAAGGTATGTTCAAACGTGCAACGCCGCTGTTTTCGTATGGAGTGAGAGCAGTTTTGTGTCTCTTGTCTCGGCATAATTCTCTATTTGGTCTGGCGGCTTCTTGTGATTGTGCCTTGTTTTGGGAAGATTATGATTCATCGTCTGAGACTTTGAGTGTACATGTGCAAACATGGCAACCTGCACTATTTTTATGCTGGGCACGAGGCCACGTTCAACAAATTTTATTGGCTTGATCTTGATCTGGTATCCCGAAGCTGCGCCCGGAACACATGTTAGTAAACAATTCGCATGCTAGTGAGCTCTCAACCACAACCCAGTCCACAAGCGTGTTTTGCAGACATTTTGATAAAACTAGCATTTTATTGAAAATTATTAGTACCGATAAAACCAAAGTTACCTTTATCCCTTTTTAAAACTTGAAGGCAAGAGTTTCCCGGTTAATGTGGAAAACCAGGCTAAAACTATAACAACAACCATCCACACCGACCGTCATAGAACATGACAACCCATGGGGAACCACCAGCTTGGCTTACAACAGAAACCTCACTCAACCTTCTAGGTGCATGCAAGTGTCACCTTCATCGCTCCTCCACAAACTAGTGGTTCCAACTTCGTTTCAAATGGCCATCGACCATATGTGTGATAGTCCACTTAAGCGCTACCTTTGTCTTCACATTCCAGAATTAAGGGATCACACAAATCATGTTCAAACTATAAAATTGTAGAATTGTTTGGTCAATCTACCGATAAGTTAAGTATTTGACAACAACATGCTAGGATACATGTACAACTGCCTACAAATGGCAAACATTGTCTGCATTACACGGTTTTCGCATTTTTAGGACATGAGCTTCTTCAGTGATCAGACGTATACATTAGGAAAGGGTGCATTTTTGGTCTCTCAACTACTAGCGAAATCAAATTTTGACCCCTAACTCTATTACTAGAAATCCTTGGTCACAAAAGTGTCAAACACATCTAGGTTCGGTCCTTTGCCCAATCAAAAGGTTTCAACAATGCCTAGCAGTGGCACATGATAGCTCAGTCAATACAATTTTTTTTAACAAAAATAAGGAAAGTAGGAACGACGGATGGAGGGCATTAAATTAAATATTTTACTTTTTAGTTCAAAACTCGACAAATTTAGATAAAAACAAGAATACATATTTTTTAATAGAAATTTAGAAGAAAAATATGGATTTTCTTCAGGAAAGTAGATTTTGTTAAGATTTACAAAAATAATAAATACTTTTTTATAGGGAAACTAGTTTCAACTTTAGAAGCAAAAATCAGGAATATTACCAAAAAAAGGCCTTAAAATATGTGGAGCCTAAAACACAAAGAAGCGAATTTTATTAAAAAACTTTTGAATCTTATTTATCCATGGGTTTCCAAAATCTTTTCCATTGTAATAGACTTTATAAACCCTTACAATCTTTAGTTACTTAATCGAAATGCTTTCGTTTTTCCTTACTTTTGCTATATTTTATTTTCCTATTATTTATGATTGATTTTCCAACCCTCGATGCTAACTAGGTCGCCACTAGTGGCGATTCTACTAGGGGGGCTTCGATAGGCTTAAGCCCGCCCTCCAAAAATCCTATTTTAACTAAATATACCACTTGAAAATTATATTGAGGTGTTTTACATGCACCAATTGCAATGCACTTGTTAATTAGATTAAAAACTTATGTTTTGAGCCTGCCCTCCATTGTCATGCTAGATTTGCCACTGGTTAGCACATGTATGAAACCACCGCATCATCAAAGACGCTTTTGGTGAAGTAAGGGACTAGATCTAGACGTTTTGACACTTGAGGGGCCAAAAATTCATGCTTTTAAAATGGAACTAAAATTATTATTATGTAGAAATTGGAAAAAATGGATTTTTCAGTTGTTTTCTTGTCACCGATGAGCGTATAAAACAACTATATGTGACTCTTGGGCAGACTTCGAGCAGCAGCACCAACTCCCACGGGACATGTTGCCTCTCGGGATAGCTTCAGAGATCACCGGGGAAGACGTAGCGGCAGCTCCACGCCCTGATGTTCCACGCCCGCCACCGAGAAAGACAAGGCGAAAGAAGAAAACAACGGTTGGCTCTCTAGTAGATTCGTCAATGCCAAATGATTCATCTACATCAGTCTCGAAGGCAGCTACAGCCGTTACCGATACCATTGACACCAGTGGCGTGATGCAGTGACAGGCAAGGCTGCAAAGTGTGTTTGTAAGTGTGGGTGTGCGGTTCTAAAAAACTGAGAATTGTAAATGTATTGATTTCATAGGTAGCTGAATACAATGGATTGTTCTAAAAGCGTGCATTTCTTTTTTTCTCTTACTAAATGATGAAGTACAATCAAACAAGTTGGGATAGCAATGAATATCAAAATATCCTAATAAGATCTAAAGTTTCAACAGGGTCTTTTGATGTCTCCATTTCTAGTTGGATCTGCTTGCATCTCAATATTTCTCGAACCTTCTGATGAAACCCCATAATGAACCAACAAAAATAGGTCAGAAGTTAAAACACAATGACCTAGGACACAATTTTTACAAGGATATGTAATTTTATATCTTTCACCGAAAACTATACAAGAAAAGAGAGAACCAATGATCAAAGCAAACTCAGCATCATAGTTGTCGCTACCGTCACCATGAAGCTTAGGCCTCAATCTGCGTTGTCGGAAAGCCGTTAACCCACTTGGCCGAAATACAATAGTCTCCTCTCCACGGCAGCCATAACATGACGAGATAGAGTTGTGAGACTCTAATTTCTTATTATGTATCTCTACCGCCAAGGCATAGCCGCTAGCCCACACAAGACATATAAACCTCATAGAGATCCACACTTACCCGTGTTCTCCTAGTGTTGATAAATAGATCACCAAAGACTAGTATGGCAAAAATCGCGTCCTTTGCCCTGCTCCAACCAGGTTTGTTGTTTGCCTCACTTTCTCTCTATGGAAGCTTTAAAAAAACACAACAGACGCATTGTAGGCAATCAACATCTGAAATCCTGGCAATCATCAAGAACAAAGCTACTCTTGGGGTGACAATGGTTAGTGTTGGTCTCGGAGGAGGAGATGATGTTGTACCTTATTTTCTCTCCTAGTAGTGTGGCTTTTCTAAACATCCTTGTATAGCTACATTTATAACTATGTTCCTTTCCTGTGTTTTGTGTAATTTGTGGATTGATTTCTTCTCAATTTTTCTTTGGCAAAATGAATGGCTCGATGAAGTTATTTCGTTTTTTTAAATGGTGAAGTTATTTTGTAACCTTTCTTTGCACTGCGAGGAAATAAAGATCCAGTCTAGCCCGGCTCGTTTGAGTGACCCTCATATTAGGTTTTTTTTAGGGGCCCCTAGAGGGAACGACTATGTCTCGCTGTAAGCGAGACATAATCAGCTCAAGCAGAAGGCGGCGGCCTAAATGAGCCGGCCCAGCTCGCGCGAGGCCACTGCCTCTTTTTTGTTTGTTTGACCTTTTGTTTCTTTTTTTGATTTTTTACTTTTGTTTAGTGTTCCAAAAATTCTAAACATATATATTACAAAATGTACTTTTCGTAATGTTTTGAAAAATGTTAATCATGCACTGAAAAATGTTAAATGTGTATAGAAAAAAATTATAGCGTACATACAAAAAGTGTATACAAAAAATATACAATGTGTGTTAAAAAAGTTGATCATGTATTTAAAATATGTTAATCAAGCATTTGAAAAAAATGCTAAACAAGTATTTGGAAAAATGTTGACTATATATAAAAACTGTTGACCATGTATTAAAAAAATATGATTTTTTTATCATGTATGTGAAAAATTAATCAAGTTTTTTAAATAATGTTGAACAAGTATTTAAAAAATTTAATCAAGCATTTGGAAAATGTGTAGAAAAAAGGTTGATTATGCATTCAAAAAATGTTAATCTTGCAATTTAATAATGTTAAAATGTGCATAGAAAAATATTGACCATGTATTAGAAAATTCTTAATCTTGTATTGAAAACATGTCAATCAAGCATTTGAAATTTTCTAACTGTGTATGGAGAAAACGATGACCATGTATTAAAGAATGTTGAGCGTGTATTCGAAAAAGTGTTCAAAAACATGCATTTAAGAAAAATGTAGATCATGTATTTGAAAAAATTCAATGTGTATCAAAAAATGTTTCATGTGTATACTAAAAATGTATATTGTATACTGAGAAAAGCACGAAACAAAAGAAAAATGAAGAAAACCAAAAAAATAAAGAAAATAATCAAAACAAAGAAACAAAACTAGACGGAAAAAACAAACAAACCGTTCAAAAAAGCAAACTAAAGTATAATGAAGAAAACCGATGAAAAAACAACGAAATCATAAAATATCAAAGAAAAAATAATAAATAAATAAAACAGATGAAGAAATAAAGAAAATCAAAGAAAAAAAAGGAAAAATGAAGCAAATAACCACCAAAGGAAACCAAAGTAAAAACCAAAAACAACCAGCAAAGAAAACCATCAGAAGAACCAAAAAACATGAAGAAACAAAGGAAAAATAAAAATAAAATGAGAAAAAAATACAAGCGAGACGAGCGAACGAGCGAACTCAGTCGATCAAACAAACTCAATGAAGGAAAAAAAAAAGACAAAACAGGCCGGCCCGGTAGCTACACTATGGGGTAAAAAGCTTCAACGGGAGTATCTTCTATCTCGCATAACGCGAGATGTGATTCTCGCAAAATCACTAATTAAAGAGCACTCTTTAAAAAGTCACTCCCACCTCTCATGTTGCAACAAGTGACGCACTGCATGTGTGACACTTGTCGCAACTTGGGAGTTTTCATTTTCTTATAAGTGCGTTTATTCAAAATGTTTTATCTCTTAAATTGTGCGTCCAAATCTCGAACTATTTTCACCATTGAATTCCTCATGTCGAGATCTACGAGACTAGATCCCATGTTGATAGAGGAGAAGGCCAATTTGGCTCCCGGGCTCAGTTGCACCTTCTTCGATGAAAAAAATCAAAACAAATACTAGAAAAATTCAAAAAAAATTGTGTGGTAGATAATTTGATGCGTGGGGTTCGCTGCAAATTTCAACCCGTTTGGATATTTGAGCAGCTCTCCACAAAAAAGAAAAAATCGGGGTCTGTAAAAAAGTTTATTGTTCACGAACTGTTTTGACCCAATTTGTCTTTTTTGCCGAGAGCTGCTCAGATATCCAAATGAGTTGAAATTTGGAGCGGACCTCATGCGTCAAATTATCTACCACACAAAAAATTGGAATTTTTTAAATTTTTCTAGTATTTGTTTTGAATTTGTTTCTGAGCGAGAGCATCTGAGCCTGGGCTCAGATGCGGATTTTCAGGTTTTGACGAAAAAAATTTCTCGAAAAAATACCGAATCGAAAGCATGTTTTTTTCCTTTCCAAAAGAGGCATGGCCATGCCTCTCGTGGAAGCAAACCCGTGCCTCTTGCGAAAGGAAAAAAATGTGTTTTTTTCGTTTTCAAGAGGCACGGGTGTCCCTCTCGCGGAAGCTAATCCGTGCCTCTCGTGGAACCAAATCCATGCCTCACGGGGAAGTAAAAACAATGTGTTTTTCACGCAATTTTTTCAAATTTTATTTTTGGTCCAAAAGATAAGAAAGACCAGTGAAAGCCTAAAGGAACCATCTAAAAAGTCAAAAACGCGTGCGAAAAACAATACAGAGGAAGCATCCAAAGCGCGACACGTGACGACGGCTGAAAGCACGCCAAGTGGCATGCTCCCAGCCCATCCCTAGTGACACTTGGGGAGGCTCTCAAAGGAGTGCTCCGTCTCGCGCACCCCTCTTATTAGTTTTTCTTAGGGGTGCCCCTCTTTTTAGATATGATCTTTTAGGTGATTTTTTAGGGGTTTATTTAGGGGTTTTTTAGACAATCTCGCAAAACTTTATTAACCCATCACAATGTTTACAGGAACGAAATGAAGATCTCCCGGCTGGCCTAACCATACATGGCGGCCAACCGCGAGGGAAAGAGAATGTTTCGCTAGATTGTGAGCTTCAAAATTTGAGCTCCTAAATTCATGATCTATATTGCAAGATAAAAAACTAGAAGAATATTCCAATATCTCCTGCAGGGTTTTTTTTAGGTGATAAGAGAGAGTGAATCGAAAGTGCATCCCTGAAATGGTCAGTCCAGCCCATTCTGGCAACCTAAATTTGGTACCGTCAAGCCCAGCCCAACTCCAGTCGAAACCGGCCCGAGGAACGGAACGCGATCCTCTTCACTTCTTCCGTCCGTCTCGCTCTCCGGCAAAGACGAGGCAACCCGCCGCCACGCCGCCGGTGGCAAAATCATCCATACAACGGCGGCAGGCTGCCGGCTTTTTCGCCCCATCACCGGCGAAGTTGTACCACGTGACTATGTAAGTGGATTTCACTCGTGGCTCTCGCTATCCTCCCCATCTCGTTCTTCACCTCTCCCCACGAGACCTGCCGACCTGTAAATCAGCGACCAACTTGTTAAATTAACGAGAGAATCGAGGTGGTGGCACTAAACATTGCCTCGGAACCGAGAAATTTGGAATTGATTATTGCAAGTTGCGCGTTGGAATTGGATAATGCCAACCAATCCCAAACCCTTGGCGAATTTTCGCCGCTTGCGGCAGCGCAATAGCCCGGTAATAGGGCTACTGGTGTGCCAGTGTGGCGCCGGCTCCTGCCTGCAGCATTTTGGAAAGATCAAGTTGGGCAAGTGGCGATAAATTCAGATTTCTTTTTCGACGAAGCACCAGATTCCATGCAATGGTGGGTTGTTTTATATGTGTGCTTGGTCTGCAGTTCCAACCTGTTGTAAGTTCCTTGTCTCTTTCGGACACGGTGATGCCGATGCTGATGCCGATGCTTTGGCTGCCTATGATGATGGTGGTGGTGATGCCGCCGCTGCGCGTTCGCTGGATCTGTCTTGTTTCTGGTTTGCCCTCTGGAGTATGATATGTTCCCCTGGAATATGGGTTAGGCCTCTTGCCGACTTGACCAACAGCATATGCGATTTAGGTGCACCTTTCGCCTTTGATGAATGGTGAGTAGGAGACTGACTTCGAGGGGAAAAAAATGTTTTCAGCTCAGCGCTGCCACTATTTCTTCTTTTATATCTTCCTCAATGTCAAATTACCATAAATGGTACTTTTGGTGGTTAGAAGGCTTTTGATTCAGAAGTTGATGTCTCATACAGGTCATTCTC